TTTATATATGGGTGTTGCTGGTTGTGCAGTAAATTGTGTTGGTCGAGACATAGTTTGGAAGTATCTAAAGAAGAATTGGATACCACTTGTGGAATGTTTTGGAGAAAAGAATCATTCTCTTATGAAATTTGTTGAGGTAAATTTTCAAATTTTTTATAAGAATAAATTATTTATTCTTATTTAGCTTTGTTTATCGGATTTTGCTGATGAAAATATAGCAAATGAAATAAAATTATTTTTTGATTCAGTTAATACACCAGTTGTAACACGAGCTGTGAAACAAGTTGTCGAAACAATTTGTATGCGTGCAAAAATACTTCAACGAGATTCAAAAATGATTAAAGAGTATTTGAAACAACACTAATTACATATTTATATTATTCTTTTTTGTCTTTATCGAGTGAGGGTGTGTGAGGGTGAGTAGAGGTGCCATGACTAGTTTCATCTTCTGCTCAAGAAGATTCATCAGATGGCTTTAAATTTTACTCGATTTATTTCAAATTAAACATTTTTCAAATGGAAAAGTCCATTTCAAATAAAATCAAAGCAAAACAAGATAACTCTGTTATAATTCAAACGAAAAAAGCTTATTTAGCGATTTTCATTCAAACCGTAATGGTTAATCAAGTTCTAGCAGTGTGAGTAGAGCTGCCATGACTAGTTTCATGAGGGTGGGTGTGAGGGTGTGTGTGTGTGTGTGTGTGAGGATGAGGGTCAATATGAAACAGATTACTCTGCTAATTTCAACTCTTGCTTTTCAGCAATCGATCTTCAATACCAAATAATATATATATAATGAATAGATTTCTAATTAAAAATAAATGCAGAATTTGCTTCGCCGACGCGTTTCGTACCTTATTCAAGGTTACTCTTCAGGGCTTGTAAATGAGAATATATATCGGAAAATAGAGAAAGAATAGGGAAACAAGTATCCATAGTAGAAACGTCTAATAGATGAATAGAATGCTTTTAAATGAAAAGAAAACTAATAACTAAATATTATGAGTTAAAATAATCTTCTAAGAATAGAAAAAAATAACGTTTTGTGATTGTTCTTATTCAATTGTTTTATCTTTAAATTGAAGTAACAACTGTTGGTTGACGAATAGTAATGGTAAGATGATATTCTACTTTTGGATCTTGACCAATACTACATTGAATTGTTTCGACATAGGGATATTCAGGTTTATCATCTTTAAAAAATTGTGGAATANCTAAATATTATGAGTTAAAATAATCTTCTAAGAATAGAAAAAAATAACGTTTTGTGATTGTTCTTATTCAATTGTTTTATCTTTAAATTGAAGTAACAACTGTTGGTTGACGAATAGTAATGGTAAGATGATATTCTACTTTTGGATCTTGACCAATACTACATTGAATTGTTTCGACATAGGGATATTCAGGTTTATCATCTTTAAAAAATTGTGGAATAAACTTTTTAAAAGGTTGTGGTGAGCAGCTTTGAAGTGCATGAAGTTGTAATAGAGCAGAATAGCTTGCCATACTGTCATCATTAGTGTCACAATTGTAAATACAGAGAAGTGGTGTAAGTCAACGTTCAGACAAAATCGGAAAATATCGATTAACTATCATCTCATCTGTTGTATTGGATACTACTGATGGAGAGTTATTATTATCCGAATTCAATGACATCTATAATGGACAGACGAAAAGATTTCTAATCTTGAGATTCTTTTTGTCCTATTTTCAAACTCACCCTTGTCGTCACGACCTTGTTGCGTATAACTAATCTTGTTCCTGTAATTTAGAAGTCAAAGATGTAGTAACTCTTTTGTCCTAATCTATGCGAATATCTCTTTATAGATTTCTTCAGCATATTTTGTGGATAGAGAGTTCTGTTTTGCTACATTGGAAGCTTCATAAATTTACTGAACTTGATTCTATAAGTCCTCGTGCAACAATAAGAGTTTCTATTAGATAATCGTTTGATCGTTATTGTCCTAATTTTTCTACCTCGACCTATTTGTCGTTTAGATATGTAGTTATTAATTAACTGAAGTGATCATCAAATAGTTTAATTGGTAAAATAGCCGACCGGTTATCGGAAGATGTGGGTTCGAGTCCTACTTCGATTTCATGATCTTTTCGAATAAGTTTCTCGTACTTATTTGAACGTGTCTCTGTGGATACATTTACTGAAATGTCTTGTATGTTTTCGTGGGCACATGAAATGATTATTTTAATTGGATTCCTTTACACCGTCATTTCAAACTCACCCACCCTCACCCTCAATTTGATTTTGGTCTTATTCATTTAAGATTATTATTAATTCTTTAAAGCCATCTGCTGAACTTCTTAGCAGAAGTGAAATCTAGATAATGGCAGCTAGTCTCACCCACCCTCGGTCATGGCAGCTCACCTCACACTGCTAGAAATGAAATCATCATTTTAATTTGAATGCAAATTGCTAATTAAGCTTTTTGTTTTTGAATTTTAACAGAATGATTTGATTTTGTTGTGATTTTACTTGAAATGGACTTTTCAGCTTTGAAAATGTTTATTTTGAGTTAAATTATACANAGGAAATTAGTACGCCGCCGCCGTCGTCATCATCATCATCAGGAAGATTTAAGATCGAAAAAGAGTCCGTTCATACGAGTTGCTGCAAAGATTATCATTGATCTTATTCGTCATCCATTTACTACTGCTGAAATCGGTTATCTTTCAAGAGGTAATATCTTATTAGAAATGTATCATTTGATTATGATTATATCTTTTTGAGTTAGGTCCTACGTATATCAGACCAAATCAAAGTGCACTTCGTCCAATTCGTCAACGTGAAAAACAAATTGAACAAGGTCTAAAGAAAGTGATGAATCATTTGAAAAAATATATGGCTAATACTGAAAATTATCCGAAAATTCCTATGACATCATCATTATACAAATTCTATTCTGATCGTCTTCGTACAGATCTTATTCGTCGTTACATGACTCCATTATCATTGCGTGATCAATTACGTGCTCGACGAGAATTAAAATTAGTTAAATCAATTCGACGAAAACTGAAGAAACATAAACTTATCCTTCGTAAAACAGATAAAAGTGGTATATTTCATATTGGTCGTATGGCTGATTATAAACGAAAAGCAGCTGAATATCGACAAACTACTCGAGCATATGAAGAACTAGATACAAATCCATTCGATCAAACTATTTGTGATGTAACTCATCAATTAAATCAAATGAAAGAAATGAAGAAAATATCTGAAGGACAACGATTACAAATGATACCTAATCGACAACAAACAGAATTACCTTATATGTACAATCTTCCTAAACCACATAAAGTAATTAGTTTTTTCGTTTTTTTTTGCCTTCGCTGAAAACAAGAGTTAAAAAGATATATTCTGTTTAGAAAGGAACACCACTTCGGCCGATCATGAATACTATACATGGAGCAACAACAAAGATATCCAAATTTTTAGATAGACTAATTCGTCCATTATTCGATAAATATGTTCGACAGACAACCATCGTTGATGGTGTTGATCTTCTTGATAAATTTCAAAAAATATATTCAAAAAGATTACTTGAAATCAACTACACTTTTTGTTACTTTTGATATTAATAATCTATATACGATGTTACCACAAGAAGAATCATTAAAAATTCTAAAACAATTTCTTCATGAATATCAATGTGATCGTTTAAATAATATTTCCATTGATACGATAATTGAATTAGCTCGTACAGTACTAGAAAAAAATGTATTCGTGTATGATAAGAAATTCTATCGACAAATTATTGGTGGAGCTATGGGTTCTCCATTTACTTTAACATTAGCAAATATTTTCATGTGGTATTGGGAAAAACAAACTATACTTTGTAAATTACCGTCACATGAAATATATGGCCGGTAAGTTAAAAATTTCATTCTTTCTAAAACTATTATTTTTTTAATCAATTTAATATAGATATATTGATGATGTTTTCTTTACTTGGAATGGTTCTGAACAAGATCTGAAGAAAATATTAGATGTAGCAAATAAATTTCATTCAAATATTAAATTAGAATATCAAATTAGTAAAACTCTGCCATTTTTGGATATTCTTCTACAAAATAACAATGGTATGCTTATATCATCAGTCTACCATAAACCATCAGCAGAACCAACTATTCTGTCGTTTTTATCTGATCATCCTCGACATATCTTTGGCAATTGTATACAAACTGCACTCATGCGAGCTATTCGATATTCTACAACATTAGAAATATTCAATAGAGAACGGCGCAATATTCGATTAATGTTATTATATAATAGGTAAGCCTTTTTTCATCCATCTCTTATCTCATTTAAATAGATATATGAATTTTCTTTTTGTTGTAGCTATCCATCAAAATATATTGATAAACATTTCGAACGATTCTTCAGTAAATATCTTCCTACTTACTCGTCAACTGTCTTACCATTGCTCAATAATGAAGAAGAATTCTTTACTTTACGCCAAAAATTATTAGCTCAATTGTCGATACAACAAGCCAT